GTCTAGTATATATATATATATATATTTGTATATATATATATATATATCAGCCTCCTCTTCTTGCATTGGGTCGCACGATCGCTTGAAGGCATGCCAGCCTGAGTACACACGGTATCACAGCACCAAAACTCAACAACATGTGGAATGATCTGGAACGAGTGCTGCTGGAGCCCTAGATATCCCAAGCCGTCGCCGACAACCCATAAACCAGAAATCCGGAAATGTAGAAAGCTCCATGTGCAGGTTGAGAAGCTGATCCGCCACGTCAAGCGCCATGCCGGCAACACCGGGAGTCAAAATGGTACTGTTGCCCCGGGCCATCAGGACTCCCAGCAGTGTGACGCACAAAGAATTTCAAAGTTGGGGAAGAGATTCGATTGAGGTTCGTTGCAACATCTGATATCACAAAGTTCATCAAGCCTGTAGGCTGCCGCTTCTCCGCGGACGGTGCCTGACCAAAACCGAAACCACGGAAGAGCGAGGAGACAGTAGCATCAACTCCGAGAACGGATGGCGAGGCGACTAGTAGCTAGGACCTGGGAGGAAAACAAGAGAGATTTTGGCTTCACGACACCGCTTGCGAACAAGGCAAGATCGGCAGCATGTCGATACGGGTTCCCGCAGCCCCGAGACTTCAACATGCTTCGAAGACAACTGTTGCTCAACACCAAGTTTCCCTTCCATGGAGCCAGAACTGCGCACCCCAAGTTTTCAGCAGTGCGGAGTCCTGATGCTTTGACAGCAATCCTCACATCACTCCGCTTGGCCCACTTGAGGCTGTGGGGAAAGCCGCCCCACTCTCGGCAAAACCTCCCGGCCTCGAATCTCCTAGCCTCAAAGCGCGGCGCTGTGACTCCTGGCTTCTGTCGCCTGGCCAATATCCCAGTTATTCTGTGGTTTCGGTCGCGCCGCACGTCGAAGTTGCATATATAGTGGCACAGTCATTGCATATTGTGGAAATCTGTCTTTCGCCAGGCCGGCTTCGAAGTCTGAGGTTTTTGAGTTTTCGGTTGAAGTCACGATGAGTCACTAGATACTCTAGCCGCTGCAACGGAAGGTGTGGTGCTGAGAGGGTGGAACCAAAGAGTGTTGTCTGCTTTGTTCAGGTACTTACATGGGCGCCACCTCGGTCGACATCGACTTCGAACCCTGATTGAAGACAGAACCCATTCTTGGTAAAGACGGGGTCTTCATACAGTAGTTCTCGTACGTTGTTATTGTTGTAAGACAGTGAGTTGGCCTCGGCTCCTCTGTTGAGCCGTGTGAGAAAGCCCAGGGTGCAGGCTCCTGGTTACTGTCAGCGCCACAGCAAGGGGCGGGGTGCATAGCAGGAGCCGCGAGCTTCTTCAAGAACTCTACATGCTGTAGTAGTCCGTACGACATTTTGAACTCTGTAAACTGAAACACACATCCATCTTTAGAAACACTTGCGCTCTGCTTGTGTTGCTGTCAATTGCTGTCATATTTGCTACTGCCGCTCATGGTGTCGTCGTCGAATGCTTCGTACTGCGATACATTCCTCTTGTATGCCTGCTGTGGTTATTCTGAACGATTCTGATTAAATGCGGCCATTATCACCACCAGCATCGCTGGACAACGACGTGTCTAATCTGCATGAAGTGCATGGTTTACTGCTCGTGGTTCCTCGACACCCCACGGAGCAACCCCAGCAAGCGACAAAACAAAAACAAGACGACAACTGCAAGCCTTTCCTCCGCAACCGCTGCTGCAACTAGCGCGAGTCCACAAAGGCCACACAGGCTTGGAGGCCTGTTCTTGGGTTTTTCGCACGCCAGGAAGTCATCGGCAAGACGGAGGAGCAGCAGCCCCTTTGATGCAGTTCCTACTTTGTGCAGGCTTTGGGGCATGCCCATCATTACGAAAAACGGATAGTCATCCTGGTCGAAGATTGATTGGCGTCTATTGCAGGGAGAGTACGAGCATCTTGCGTAGTAGAAGGGCTGGTGCTATGCTTGCACGGTCTATTTCTGTCGTGTCGTGGCAGAACGCGAGGCAGCAGTAGCAGTAGCCTTGTAGTCGCAATGCTGCCGTGGCAGAAAGCATGTCCTTGCACCTTCAGTGGTCGCTTTGGCCACCTTCATGTACTGGTAGCCTGCTTGCACATTCAACTGATGGGGCATGATGGGGCAGTGCCCACGGCAAGACAAGCGACAACGAGCCCAAGAACTCCCAACCGTTTGTTTCCGCATTCGAAATCTCCAAGTTTGTTTGGTTGTCAACTTTCTTCAGCCGTCGCTGTGCAATTCCAAGAGTGCATCAACCGAGTCCTTGTACTGGCAACTCCCATGCCCAAATCCCAAGTTTGTCATAACACATGCCTCGCTGCCAACATCCCCAAAACACTTTGTTTGGCAACAGCCTGCAGGGCCGCGGTTTGCCTTCCATGCTTCCAAGGTACTGGGTGACGAAGTGCCTTCTGTCGCTTTGGGGCCGGGAGGCGACGCCCATTAGATCACCGGCTAACGGCTAAAGTCTCCACATCGCGCATGTGTATTTTTTGGGTATGTCGTTGTATGTGAGCATGGCCTGGTTGTTGCTACCGTGTTTGTAACGGCCTGTTCATTGTAATGGCTGTGTTTACTGTTGCTTTCCACTCGCATGCTCTTGAAATCCTGAACCTGTTTTGTCTTTCTTCATGCTTACGACGCCTGCAGGCGCTCGGAGTGTCTCCATTGCGACGAGCAGCCTATTCCGACCCATAGGTCTATGGCATTATATATGTTTGCCTCACCCACAAACAGCAGAAACAGAAATAGCGCCCATCAGAGCATCTGAAACTACAGTTTCCCGCATCTCCAGCAAAAAGCCTCTATCCCAGCACTTTTAAGTCCAACTTCGCCATGTACAGCCCCAAGATTTTCGCACACACCTGTCACAGCCAACTCATCGTAGCGTTATGCAGTCCGAAATGTCCCAACTGCGATAGTGTTGGCAGACTCAGCTGGGCCGGAAACCCGAATTGCCCAAGATCGGATGGCAGGAGAACCCACGGCAGGTGCAGCTCAAGGTGCTACAGTCGACGCCGGGTTTGGGCTACAGTACTGCTCGGATTGAGGAAAGCATTGGGAGCCTTTTGAAATCAGGGTCGAGTTCCAGGTCTGAGCTTCAGTGCCCGGACTCTAATGTCAAAGCTTTTAAGCCCCCAGTGCCTCCCAGGAAGGCTCGTGTGTAAACCGCCTTCAGCTTGGCAGGTCTGTGTGAAGCCGGGAGCTCCCTGGGTCGAGCTGGGATCCTGCACACTGGACGATCCTACGGCGCTGGAGGAGCTTCAGGGATCTTGAGGGAATCATAGAAGAGCAGAGCAGGAGTCTAGGCGCTTCCGCTTTCGGGCTTTTACTGGCGGAAGGCTTCGGGACTACAGTACAGCTTTGGAGCCCAAGCCGTAGAGTAGATGGTGCCACAACAGGTGGAAGTGAAATTGCTCGTAGACACGCGCGACATTGCTTCGCGCACATGAGCGCTGCAACAGCCACCAGTGCGAGTGCAGGCAGCGTGTCAGAGATTCGTTCATGATTCGTTGTTGTACGCTTCTTGGTAAATTGCCGGAGGCATCGATCAAGATCGACAAGCCCATCCGACGCCTGTTCTAATTCAAGCTTGCTTGCGGGGGCTGGACTTAGCTGGACTTTTCGTTGTAGTGCCAAGCTGCCCCTGTCGAGTGCTTCCATTAACCCATACTTAGTTCATAGCTAAGGGTATGTGCGCATATCTTTGCGCGGCAATCTGGGCGGCCACTTCGGCATCGCCGTGCGGAAGGTGCACCTTGCGAGAGCGGGAGGGCTTCAGTGTGGCTGAACACAGAGAGAGGGCCTGCGGCTGGCGACTGAACATGCTCCTGCTGTGCGGGGTATGGGGCATTTGGAGGCGAGAACTTCGGGGTAGCAGGCCGCAGCCTCCCAGTGCCTTCTGAAAATCCAAAAATACGTCAAAATTCGACCCGGCGAACCCAGTTTCGTTGCACTGCATTACTTAAACTTGTGATGCCTTCTTCCATGCAGGTCTCTTTCTATGGCTACCAGGTGCGACAGGCCGGTGCCTGCGATCGTGACAGTTTACACACGCATTGATTGCGGGTAGGACGAAAGGTCAGGCGTTGTGAAGTGCGGAGCACCATCATGTTTTACTTTCGCCAGATCAGATGATTTCGCTGGATGTCCCATACTGAGCATGCACGAAAGTGACCCCATAGGAAGGCTCGGCTTTCATCTTGGACATCCACCGGAGAATCCTGCCTCATTGGTCGTTGCCCGCGTAGGTGATTGGAGACCAACCAGTGGAGCGCCACCTTCAGTGCTTCTATCTAAGTCTAGCTTTATGCCATAATGGAATGGGTTTACCTAGAACAAGCGAGGCTACGTAACATCGCGGCCAGGTTCCGATTGCCTTGCAGCTGGACAACCTGCGCTTCCTCCGTGGCAGTCGCCTCCACACCCATGCTCAAGACATCCACCCCAAAGAGGCCTTGTCGCTCCTTTTTGGGCAGCAGCCCATACACATGCGTCGGCAGTCGACGCTGAGTGGTTGGTTCCCAGCGCCGGCTGTCTCAGTCAGTCGCATGAATCGTGACGTGTTGTTCTTGAGTTTGCGTGAGTGCGCGTTGGGCTCGTGCGCATGCGACGTGCTAGGATGTTTTGGGGGTGCCTCTGTGTTGGGCAGAACTACACAACCATCTACCTGAAAGGGTAGGCTAGATTGGACAGCCCACTTGTGGTGTTGGAAGCGCAATCCTCTGATTGTCCGATGTCCTCATGCTTTGTCGTTCATTCCCACAGATAGACTTCAAGGGCGAGTGCCCAGAAAGGCTGAACTAATCCTCCTGCCGCGGCGACTGAAGGGCTTGTCTCGACAGCTACGTTGCACCTACGGCTTCTGCCAAGTTCGGGGGCGGCTTGGGGTGATGGCCAACACCAATCGGTGAGCGTTGGTGCAGGTCACATCGCGCGTGCACAAGCAGCATGGATGCGCTTGGAGGGTGTTAACTGAATAAAGCTGACACCTTCTTGCATCTGTGTCTGCAATATCATCGCAGACACTTTTGTTTGCTACTAGTAGTGCGAATAAGGGGCCCAGTAAACCCTTTCGAATCCTCCTGCAAAATTGTCACGTCGTGCCGTGGCCGCCGTGGCTGGAGATGCGGGTTTTCAACATGATCATGCAATTGCTGAAGAGCAAGCCGATTCGGCACCATGTTCCGAAGTGTGCCAGTATGTGCCAGTTTGTTTAATGCCCAATAGGTGGCCAGCATCCTTTGATCAATGCTTAGCAGAGGGCGTCGTCACATTTCCCGTGAAATTCCGAGGATAGGCCCTAAGTCCTTAAACCTTGCTGTTAGCGCGACGATTGAGCACGTCATGTTGAAGAACGGATTCTGAACGTGCGCTGAGCCCAAGGTCGCTGCAGAGCAGCCTCCGTGTCGGCCGACGCATTGAGGGCACCGGTGCCAAGCTTCTCAGTTGCACAACTGTTTCCTTTGCGAGGCCTACCGGGATCGAATCCGTTCATCGCCGATCGGTCAAGGGAGCGCCTACAGTCTTGGCCCAAGCTGTCGAACTCGATCAGGTACCGCGTATACGAAGACATTTGCTCTGGCTCGCCTCACATCACCTCGGCCGCAGAAACTCCCAGGCCACTCCAAGCGTGTACAGAGTGAAATAAATGTTCTTCAGATATCACACAGGCAGAAATGAGCACCAAGATTTGAAGGCCCGGTGGAGTAATTTTAAGCATCTTTTAGCGCAAGAAAAATCACAATCATGAGAGCAAAGTTTAGCGCCAGAAAAGCACAAGATAATTTAGCACCAGAAAAAGCACAATCATGAGCACAAAAATTGGCGCAATAACATTGCGGTTTTGCTGGTACTTTTTGTGCTTCTGTTTGCGGTGACTGTCACTTGGGCCGGCGACAAAGTGATGAGCATGGATCGGGGACTTTGTGCAAATCCGTCTCTGCACACATGGAGCCAGAGCCTAAAGTCCGAAGCCTTGACCACCCCGAGGCCCTGTACAGCCCAGGAGTTTGAACCCAAATCCTGCCATGGCAGGCTCAAATTCCCTCGTGGTGTGGTGCTCGTCGGAGCGGTCCTCGGTTTGCGCTACGTGCAGCGAGCTCAGATTGTGTGTTTGACATTCCTTGCCCAGAGGCTTCGGAATGCTGCGCGGGTCAGGCCAAGAATTTTTGCAATCTCGTACGCAGTCGAAGCTAGCAAACTTTGACGCGCAGAGGGCGTCCAATAGAAGGAAGTGAGCTAGGCTGGCTTACATAGCCAGAAGGAGAGGTGGCGGCGACGAGCTTCAGGAGCACTTCGAAAGACTCAATATACCAGCCCGAGAGATTCCAGAAGCGTCATGCATATCGTAATCGACAACGTAAGTTTCCACGAACAAGAGGTCCGACGTGCCGTCGAAGGAGTCCGCACCACCCAGGCTGCGCATTCAGATCGTCAAGGCGGGCCGCAATTTAGCGTGGGGCAGGGTGGGTATAGGGGTGGGGTATGTCGTGAGCAGCAGTGATGATGGCGACGGCTGTTTAGATGATGGTTGCGATTATGACGATGCTCTTCTCTAGCGGTTTTAGTGAGGTTTGTGAGGATGGTTACAGACTTCGATTCACAGTCGGCAGCACTGGTGTTCGCGTGGTTGTGGTAGCAGTGGTATAAGTAGAAGAAGAAGTGAAGAAGACCATGTGCGGTTGCCCGCGTGAGTTCAATGACGGACTGCGTGTAGCACTCTGGGGGCACATCGCAGGAAGCTCACACCTCGGCCGACCAAGAGAGGCGCCTGAAGAAGCTGCACGTTTGCATGGCAGTTTGCCGCAGACTCCGGTCTGCGGGAGTCAAAAAGTGGAGGGCATCCAGCTTTTTCTGGATATAAGCAGTGTGGGGCGATGTTCAGAGTTACAAAGCGGCCCGTAAGGCCCGTGTATCTTTGGGTTCTGGGTACATAAGGGGGTGGCCACCTGAACCGTAGGAACAACACAAAATAACAGTCCACAATCCGATGCCCCCGCCGCGAAGTCGGTTTGGCATTCCCTAGAACCTCTGAAACCCCAACAGAAGCAGAAACACTCAACACCAACACAACCCGAAAGAAATTCCAAGGACACTGCTCTTCGCGACAGAGGACCTGACCCCGCCGAGCTGGAAAGCTACAGAGGCCAGAAGACGCGAACCCAAGGTACAACGCGGAGTTTGAGGTTTGCTCGGTCCTCCGCATCCCGACTTCAGAGGTCCCTCATTATCTCCTGTGCGTGGTAGAGGACCCGGGGGTCAGGTCGTTGGACTGAGCCTCCCTCAGGGTTGAAGCACTGTTCAGGAGCTGTAGTGGAATCTGCAGCATCTGAAGACACACCCCGGTTACAGTTATCGTTGTTGGCTGTTGGATTATATTAGGAGATTAGCAACAGTACATTGGTCAGGCGGGGGTCTCGCCCCTTCCCCACCTGCTCGCTAAACAGTTTACCGTTTGGAGGCCAAGATTGCAAGGCTGCTTGGCAATCTTGGCCCCCCGCCCCACTGGCTTGCCGACTGGTTTACCTTTTGGAGACCAAGATTGCAAGATTGCTTGGCAATCTTGGTTGCAACCTTGGTCTAAAAGGTAAACTAGTCGGCGAGATCAAGATTGCAAGATTGCGTGGCAATCTTGCTAAAATAGATGTCCAATGTCCCGGCACACTGCAACAGTAGCAACGACAAGAGTACGAAGGCCGGCAACTCCGAAAGCAGCGATTTCATCCCGGGTATGGGGTAAGCACCACATGCCATGTTCCGGCACATACTTGAGAAGAAAGTTCCAGCTTGTCTCTTTTCGGGTTGAGTCTTCAAGGTGCCACCTCACATCTGACATGCCTGCGGCAGGTCTTGGGCAACGGCGCCTTGGCTTCGGTGGTACCTTCTGCTCTTAGTCAGTCTCAGCCTTAGGCCTTGAAGCCCCAAGGCATGGTAGCACCAGAGCTGGAAGCCCTTTCCCCTTGTACGGGAGCTTTGGTGGAAAATGACTCTAGTGAGCCTTGAGATGCCTTGAGAGATTACTTGCCAGAAAAAGAGTGCAGATCTCCTGGATAAGTGGGGCACGCAGCAAAAGCTCACGGATGCAAACGCCCAAGCTGCCGAGTTCTCGGCACAGACCAGGAAGCTTCGAAGATGCCATCCAGGTAAAAGGTGCATCCGGCCGAAAATCTTGTCGATAGCAAGCATTCATTTCCGGACATGAATCGAGGAAGAGATACTATGCTAACGTTGCCTTACTGTGGAGCACTACACCGTTTAGGGAGGACATGGCCGGTAACCGGAAATGCCCCGAAGTTCGACTAGTGCCCAGCTTTCGACGAAGGATACGTGGACTACCCTGTCATGTTTGCTACCGGCATACGAGCCTTTGGAGACGACAAGCTGCACCTGGAAGTGCTGTTTCAGAACTTCTCGGGCACTGCGCGCCTCTGGTGAAAGAGTCATGCTTAACTTTTTGGTGCTCCTTGTCCCTGTATTGTTTGTTGCTGCTACGACGGGTGCTTACCAATATCAGTTCTTCTTCATAGCGTTTGCAATGGCATTCCCTTGTGTTTGGTCAGCCTGTAGGTTAAGGAAGCTCGCGACGACTTTTGTGTATCATTTGTGTATCCATCAGCAGGTAGCACGACTTCCAAGGCACCAGTATAGCAGCAAGAAGCTTTAGGAACGGGCATCAGCGACATAAACAGGGCCTGGATGGGGGCTCGAGATTTTCAGGGCTTTGTGTTTTTGGCAACCCATCGAATCGGGGCGGTGAGCCCAGGGGACGACGGGTCCCGGCCCACCAGTTTCTGAAAGGACCTGTGCCTGCAACCATGGAAACCGAAGTTAGTGTTCCCTGCCTGAAGGAGTCGAGCCTTGAAGCATTGCACATCACCGCTGCCATCGTCATTACCATGTTGGCTTCTGCTCTCATCCTCATCATCACCACCAGGACCCAAAGAGCTCACACCTACAAGCACGCACACTCGGACCACTCACCCGAGAAGAAAGGCATATCCCTGCGGACATGGGCCTTTCCTTCTTCTACGTGCCGGAGCTGCAGTCTCCCAGCACCTCCGAGGATGAAGGCCCAAGGGTATGGTCCCTTTGAACGGCTCTGATGTCTTTGGGTTCATGATGCCAGATCAAGAAATTAGATTCGATTTTTCAATGAATACAGAGTCTAGCTGCCAAGTTCAGCCTTGTCCTGCCCCCACGTCCGAAGGCAGCGTACCCAGAACCCAACCCCAATTTATCATGCACAGGCTTGCCAGGTTTAGATTGCTTCTCGGAGGGAGTTTAGGCTTTAAGGTTACCGGCGGGTGGGGTGTTCTTGTAGAGATAGAGGCTGACACGCAGCTGCTGTCGTTAGTGCCAGCGATGGCTGGTGCAGGGAGCCTTTCAGTCGGTCAGTCCTTTGTTCATTTCGCTTCAGCATGCAACTTTCACGCGAAGAAAGGCACCAGCAACTGCACAAGCTAATGATCGTCAGAACAGCGGCACGGCTGATTCGTAACTTCATGAACGGCCTTGGCGGGCATCTTGGCAATTTGGCACTTATCTCTTCAGCATGACTTTGTAGCCTTAAAGTGCCACATCAATCTTTTTGAGCCTTCCCGAATCCCGAACGGCAAGAGGCACTGATAGCAATGTGCCAGCATCTCGTTTGTTTGGTATGACTTTGTGCTGCACGTTCCATGTGTCGGATGACGCAGTCCGCAGACCTGGTCAATTCAAGAAGGAACGCTGCATTCTTGCCTGACAGCACAGACAGGGGTGGCGAAAGAAACTGCAGCCGCGCAGCAGCGGAAGACGCGAACAGAGGCAAGATGCTGTTTTTTGGAATGTTAAGTTCAGCAGCAGACCTTGGAGATGCATGTGAGGTTGCATTTCTTTTCTTGTTGCAAATTTCTCTGTTTGTTTAGCTCAGGTTGGTAGACTTTTCGCTGACGTTGGGGGTTGGCTGCGATAGGTCCTTCAATGATTAGCATCGGGTTCTTCGATGACCGCGTTCTGGTGCAGGGCACATCTGAATTTCTGGAGGGAAGTCTCTCGTCAACATGGAGTACTCAGCACGCACGGCCAGTTCTTCACGCTTTGCGAAGTGTTTCGTGAGTCACGTGCCTTGCTTTGACAGAACTTCACCCCCAACCCGCTAATTTCAGTTTTTCGGCTGGGAACAATTATGGTGCGACTCTCGCGTTGAGGTCGGCAGCCTTTGAAGCTACAGGGATTTGTGTTTCAAGGTGCCGGTGAGGCTGCATAGCACCCGTGCTTGCATGCACATGCTAATATTAGCAGAGTCTACCGCAATATCGAGGCCAATATCTTTAACGAAGGGATAATTTGGGAATCGCTCTCCGCATGATGCCATCCCTCTCAGAAGGTGCCGAGTACTGAACCAAGTCTGACATGTATTGCCCACCGCTTTCGGCTATTTGTAAATCGGACTACGAGCGAACTGTCTGTTGAGGCTAAGGAGGAGGGGGAAAGACAAGAAGCAGCCCCTTGGCACTGCGAGCAGCGTTTTGCTCTGTATTGCAATTGCATTCGTGATTGTCATGAGTATTTTGACTTGTACGATACCCTCCAACTGGTTCCCAACAGGTGTGGTAACACTACACAGGGTTTGTGTCGTCTTTCACGGCTCAAGGGGCTCGGTGCTCAATCTCAACAAAAAATATCGAGACTCTCTTTCTCGACGCGGCCCTCTGCCGAGGCATTTTCGCTTTCAAAAGGCTCCAAATCTCCAGATCCTAGCGAGGCCACACTATTCTACCTGTCGTGCGGGGAGTAAGGACCTGAATCCTTTTTTTCGAAGGGGGGTCTCGAAAACACCGACGATGTATCTTCACAGCTGGCAGCTGGCAGTTTCGGTTGGACGGAATCATGCTTTGACTTCATGCATCGCTCTCCTGCTCAGGGTCTCAAGATAGCAACTAGTGACTAGTACAAGCNNCCCCCCCCCCCCCCCCCAAAGCGGAAAACAAAGCGGAGGAAAGGGAAGCATCTGTCGGGCAGTCCGCGGCAGAGGCCTCTTTTAGCAGTTCTGGGCAAGTCAGGGCGAAGGTCTGTTGGCAAGCTTTCAATTCGGTTTTGGGGTTAGGTGAACGTCGGTCGGTTCGTTGTGTTTATTTATGTTGATGTATGGATGTGTCTGCAATGCAGTCGCTGAGTGCAGGTGAACGTACTGTGTTCATGTGTGTATACCATGCAGATAAACAGCTCGGAAGATCAGCATGCAAGCGACGGGCCTTCCTGCATGACATATTTGTGCCTCCAAGGCTCATCAAGGCTTCGGACTGTTGCAGCAGTTCTTGTCGTGCCTTCGATTTTAGCTGTTTCGAACAGCGGAAGCCAGACCCCCGCAAGCTTAGGCCCTCAGAGACTTGCACAGTCTCATCCCTCCTTCGATGTGAAGGTCACGCAAAGCCAAGCCTTACAGCTCGACGAGGACGAGGAAGTCTTGGCACAGGAGAGCCTAGCAGATGCTTCTCGCTTGTTGCAGTTCCTTCTGGAACCTTCGAGTTGAGGTACTGGTAGCGTTGTCGACAGTTGGCAGCCTAAGCATCTGATCATGTCAGGCTACAGTTCAGGCTGCCGTCAGAGTTTTCGAAAGCCTCCAGCTTCGATAGAGCGGTCTGAGCATCCACTCTAGTCCGCAGCCCCAAGAAGCTCGGCCGACACATTCTCCTTTTGCAAAACATCGTAGCTCAGTTCTAGCTAGTAGATCCATAATCCGAGCACTTCCTTTCTGCAGCCCAACATCTCGGAACTGATGCGCCAGTTCCTGGACGTTGCACATAAAGCTATGTCTGCAGCAAGGTCTCTCAGGCGCTCGATCAACGGCCTCAGAACCTGGGTTTAGCATGTTTGGTCTATCTTAGCACGCATACTTGGACAGTTTCTGAGGGTGCAACAGATTCAACAGGTGGCGGCTCGATCCTTAACAGTAGGCGCTTGGGCTGCAGGAGAGTGATGCTGGCGAGGGCTGGGAAGAGGAGCCTCAGAGCTGAGACAACGGGCGTGTCCGTTTGAACGATCAATTGGCGTCGGGTTTCAAGGTGGAGGGTGCGTCTTGGTAGCTTGACTGCAGGGATGTTGGAAGGCAGCTGCGCGGACATATGGGCTTAAGAGTTGAAGTTGCAACGTGTAGTAGCGAACAAAAACCGGTGCTTGCAACTGCACAGGAGCTGCAGAATCACCTGGACAAGCAGGTCGGCATCTCGGAGATTGGTCTGCCATGTGATAGGGAACAAGGCGAGCTCGGCATCAACGCACGCATGCACTGCGAATCGTTTCTGTGTCAACGACATTGCGAATGCTTGCGCACTGCCTAAAACACAGCAGCAAGGCTTCGGCTACATCTGCTTTAACATGCAATCGCTTCTCTCAGCATCTGCCGAGCAACCACGGATCTGTGTCCGGCATGTTGTCTTGGTGCGCCTTTGCACCATCCGTGCCCTTGGGCTTGCAAACGCAAGAGCTTCAGGCGGCGTTGTTTTATCAGGCATGTTCGCATCTGAGGTCGTGCTGCGCAGATTTCACCTTCTTTTCACAAGTGAAGATATTTGCGGGTTTGGCACAAACGGCCCCTTCCAGCTCTTGCACTATCACTGCTTCTGTTCTGAGCGCTAAGTCGTGGCTCGAGTCCATATTGTGTGTGTGTGTGTGTATGTGCGCATTCCTGCCTAAACCATGACCAGCCTTAACAACCCAATGATGCCGCACGAGGTAAGTAAGGGCAGCAGGGCGTTTGCATGCGTCTGCAAGTGGACCTGGAGTGACCTGCAATGGTGCGACCTAAGCCCTGGAGAGTGCATCACTGTCTGCGGCTTGTAAGAAGGTTGATGAGACTCTTTTCGGCAACAGCGGCTTGCCGCCGTGGCCTCAGTGCTAGTCATTGTGGGGCTATGAGCCAAGCATGTTAAGGGACGTATTGCAGACTTGCAGCTATACAAGTGCCAAGCGATGATTAGCAACCCAGTTACTCTTCCAGTATGAGTTCGGCTTGATTCCAGAGCCTTCCGATTCAGACGCCCCATTCCTGCCATCCCAACCCTCGGTGCTTCCTACCGTAGCATGACGGTCAAGAGAGAACCTTTGCACCTTATGACCATGATCATGTACACAGTGGCAACAAGTATAGCTATCATCCCGGGCTTTGGCTTGATCGTGATCTGAGTGTCTTTGAGATGCTGCCATGCTGCTGCGGCGGCTATGATGGTGTAGCATCGGTGTCACTGGTGCATATGCGGCTCTCGCACATGTTCGAGTCCTTTTTTTGCTACTGATCCTCCTTCTACCTCTACCAAGTACTACCAGTACAACAACTACTACTACCACCACTACTACTACTACGACGACGACGACTACTACTTCTACTACCACTACCACTACGACTACGACGACTACTACTGCCACGACTGCTACTACTACTGCTACTACGATGCCGACGGCTACGGCTACGGCTACGGCTACGGCTACGGCTACGGCTACGGCTACGGCTACGGCTACGGCTACGGCTACGGCTACGGCTACTGCTGCGGCTACTGCTGCTGCTGCTGCTGCTGCTGCTGCTGCAGGCACTGCTGCTATACTGTGAAGCCTACTGCTACGACGACGACCACAACCTACGACGAGCAGTAAGACGAGTACTACAAAGGCTAAGTCTGTTTCTCATTGCTGCGACACTGTGACTTCTACCACCATTGCACGATTTCTTCGACAATTTGTCACGAGTCCGACTACGCAGTGCAGTACGCGGTGCTGTATGCTTTGCTCTCCGACCTGAGCTATGAAAACCCGAATCGCACCAAGACCGAGCTGGCATTGCCCTGCAGGTTTTTCAGCCAAGAGGAAGGTGGTGCCTATCGGCCCAGTGCTGCGAAGGGCCAGGGCCAGGAGTGGTGGAAGACGGAGGACGATTCGAAGTCGACTCAGGCAGTGGATGGCAGTGGGCGGGGTTTGGGGTTTCGGCTGAGCTTACTGTTTAGTTTTTGTGTTTTAGGAGTCTAAGCCGTGCGGTCTTCCAATGCGGCGTTTAGGGATCCGGGTAGGATAAGGAAGGAAGGAAAAACCAATTTGAAGCTGCAACACATCCACACAACGTTGGGATAGATTCGGACACACGGTGATCCCTGGCATAGGGTTTTGCCAACCGTCAGTCCTTGGTAGGTTTGATTTTACTTGCAGACACCCCCGCAAGTGTTTGGCCTTCATCTCTTCATCCTGCTTTGTTGGTTTGTTATGTTTTGTTGTTTCCATCTTGGGTTGGCGACTGTTCGGGCTTCAAAACCAGCCGTCTTGTCCTTCCAGGGCCAAGGATTGCGAGCCATCACCTTCCTTCATGCGCGGAAAGATGTCAGACATCCTCTTCAAAGAGTTTAGGACGGATTGGCATCCTGCCAGTCCGGCGTCCTCAGCTTGTCATCCACCATTATCTGTTATGTTCGGGCCTTTGGGGAACCAGTCATTACTCAACACAGGCCTTGAAAAGTGTACTTTGTAAGGTCATTGTAAAGGTCACAGCAGACCGCAGGTACGATTTGTCACGAGCCTTGGCCTGCGTGTTGTGCAAATTACAGGAGACTTGGGGTTGCGGTTTGCCGTGGGCTTGCACTTGTGGATAAAGTGCAGATCATTACGGCCCTTAGTGTTTGCGTTTTCCTGTTTTCTTGTTGGGTTTGAGTTTTGAGCCTTTCGCCAACCAACATCTGAATCTTCCTTTCAACTTCATATAGGTCAGGCCGGGTGGCCTGGACCGGCCGATGGCCCCCCGGCAGCCCATGCTGCGGCCACAATCTTTCTGTCGTGGCCCCGCGGCCACGACCCACAGATACGGCATTAAAAGCTTCTATACCCGCAGTAGGAGTCTTAGTCGTCGTCGTTGTAACTAGTTGTAATATCACTATCAGCAGCAGCAGTAAGGTGAAAGGCGTGCAGTCGTGATGACATAAACCCGCCTGCTCATCAGGCCAAGGAAGCACCTGCAGATGTAGCCGGCGCAGCGCGCGTGACGTGGCAAGTGATGACGGGTGGAGGGAAGTGCATACTGTTGTATACCAATTACGGCTTGGTTATTCCTCCAGCAGAAGCTCAAAGTTGATCCAAACGTCCTCACCAGGTGAGTCCTGGCAACCCAGCCCGCATGATGCCAAGTACTCCTTGCCTTTTTCAATTCAGGCACGTCCCGCGGCAGCCACTGCTACCGCTGGCTCTCGGAGACACCAGGCGAAGACTCTGGCAACTTGCAGAGTCGTGCATTCAAGAACGAAGTCCGGAAAGACTTCGAGTTAATCTTTCCAAAGCTGATATGAAGGTTCGTCTCTGCACAGGAGGCTATCCGATATCTTGCATCTGCTATCCTCGTGACTACAAACACTGCCGATAGTCATGCTGCCAGTTGTCATTATGTGCTAGTTGCATGCCCGTAGCTCGCATGAGTGTCATGTTGTCTTTCAGTCGTCGTTCATCAGCGCAGTCTTTTGGGCAAGTAGTCACAGAACGCCTGATTACAGACCGTAGACGTAGCAGTTGGGGTTCTCAAAGCTCCGGTCGTAGAGGCTCGGTATGCTTTGTCTAGAGAAGCAGTGCGTAAGTGGTTCGTTGTTGTTCTAATTCTAGCTCAATCACTTCGCTGACTACGTTCTCTGTTGTTGTTATCTGACAGTTCAGCAAGTCCAAGTACCAGGAGACCAGCTGCGGCGCAGTGCATTACTCGTAGTTCAGAGCAGGAAACCCAGCACACTGAAGACCCATCGTCGAGACGGAAGCCGCAGGTCTCGCAGATGCAGCCAGTGCCCGTCGAAGACAACCAGCCCCTTGCTGCTGTTGACACTGTAACAGTTCGATAGATTTTAAGACCTAATCCTGTGCGTTTTTGCAACGATACATCACAGTGTTCAAGACTGCTACTGCCGCTACAAGGATAACAACGAGAACAGCAACAGCAACAGCAGCAGCAGCAACAACAACAACTACTGCTACTGCTAGTGTTACTGCTACTGCTACTGCTACTGCTACTACTACTACTACTACTACTACTCCTGCTGCTGCTGCTGCTACTACTACTACTACTACTAAGCTACTACTACTAAACTACTACTAAACAACTACTACAACACTACTGCTACTACTACTACTACTACTACTACCACTACTATTACTATTACTACTACTACTACTACTACTACTACTGCGCTACTACTACTACTACTACTACTACTACTACTATCACTACTACTACTACTACGACCACTACTACG